TCTTCAAACTACATTTTCTGCTGTAACCAGCAAAAACCCTGTGCTACTTTAAAGTCCAGACATGTATGGCCATCCTGACCGGTCCAAACAAAACCCACACTTCTCTATGGCCCAGAGACCCAGATGCCATAAAACCACGGTTGGCTAATTAAACAGCCAAATATGCTCATTCATTATCAGCATACCTCAGGGGTTCACTGTGACACACTGTACATATGTGTAAGAGTGAGTGATAGTGGGGGTTGGGTGAATCTCATGGGGTTTAGGGCAGCCTTAGGGACCCCGTTGGCAAGAAAAAGCCCATGGCAGTGTGAGAGGTATGCTCCTATGAGGGCACATGTGTGCGGTTGTTTTGTTCTGTTTCCAACGCAGCAGAAATCAGCTGTGCAAGAGTCTCGCAACACTAGTATTAATATCAACAAATTTTGTTGCAAATATGATTTTATTTCTTTGGCAGAACACAACAGCAGATGGTCCAATGTGGTTTTGGACCCCATTTACTTTCATTTTATGGAGAAAAACAGTTGACGTTCTTGAAATTGACTGATTTTTTTTTTGAGAGAGAGAGTTTTCCAAACTTTTTATTTTATTTTATTTTGTTTTGTTTTTGAAATGTTAACTAAATCTTTAAGGGTAGATATATTTTAATTATTTAGCATCAAATAGGTTTGACTAACAAAAAGTTTGAATCCCTTCATCAAGTGAGCATTGAATGATGACAAAGGTAATTGAAATGTGAAAATTAGCAATAAAATATTCCAAATAATCTGATGTATATTCAGTATTGTCTGATACTGATACATGAAAAGATCTGAAAACCAATATGCTGCATGTATCATGCATCTCTAAAAAGGACGTGTAATATAAATCAGAAATGTATGATGTGAGTTGAGAGGTTTCACATTGTTTATGCTAATATCTGAATACATTTAATATGCTGATTATGTACATTCATTTCTCCTGAGGCCACGAGGCCAGCTTGTTCTTGTTCTTGTGTGTGTGTGTGTGTGTGACATGCTATCTGCTCCAGTGAACAGTCAGTCACCCTGACTGATTCAACAAGGTTTTACTGAGCATTTTGATTTGAAACAGCACTGAAATTCTGTTTTGAACCTTAAAACAACATTCCTCTGATAATGCAAGTATGAGAAGGTGAATAACACAAGCAGAAAAGGCGCATAAGAGAGTAGACACCACATTTGAAGGTCTGAACTCGCATACTGAACACATTCGTGTTTTCTCCTGTCATTATGATCTCACATTGTTTCAGCAGTTCTAGACGATCTATGGCATTGTTAGCGCTGGAGTCACAGTGGCTGGTTTGATGGCTCTGTGTGTGTGTGTTTGTGTGCGTATCTCTATGGCAGACTGCAGCTCTTCAGTAATTGGAGAGAATAAGTCTCCCCCCATCATTTCATTCCCTCCTTTACTGAATTCTCCCCAGTTTCTCTCACTAGGTTTCTGTCTGTTGAATGTGAGGCATTGGTAATGAGCCGGCATTCTGTCATTCCCTTACTTGACACCATAGGGCCTTAGAGAGGAGAGAGGGACTGTTTGGGTGGAGAAGACTTCAAGCAGCTGGATGCTGGAGCTCTTTCGCTAAGCATTCCCTCTCTGATGCTGGATTTATCCTTCTAAAATCATGTTTAACAGACTCTACTGTTTTATCCAGGTTTTATCTTTTCTTTTTTTCTTTTCTTTTTAGAAATTTCCTTTGAAAGCCATGCTTCAAGCTGTGACTGGTCAAGGTCGTCTTGATCTAATGCATTAAATTAAAGAGCTGAACATGGTGTGGGGTAACACTTTATTTGAAGGTGTCCTTGTTACAGTGTAATTATACATTTAAGTACTGAGTAATATAAATGCACGCTCCATAAGTGATCATATAATAACATAATTAAAATAAGAATAATAACATAAAATAAGCATAATTACATGCAAGTAACCCTAAACCAAACCCTAATCCTAACCCTAACCATATAGTAAGTACATGTAATTAATTAATATTACTCAGTACTTAAATGTATAATTACACTGTAACAAGGACACCTTAAAGGGTTAGTTCACCTAAAAATGAAAATTCTGTCATTAATCACTCGCCCTCATGTCGTTTCAAACCCGTAAGACCTTCGTTCATCTTCGGAAAACACATATGAAGATATTTTTGATGGAATCTGGAATTAGAATTAGAAGTACAAAATGAAGATTTGTAAAGAAAAATGTCGATATAAGCCAAGAGGAGACTGGTTTTCCTTTGCTGTAAACAAAACTTGGTTCTCGCGAGACTAGCATATTCTCACCGGAGCTTATGCTACAACTACATCCTACTTCATCCGCTGGAACACCATTCTCTCGTGAACGTGTGTACGACAATTAGCGGAAGCTAGAGATTACAGTTTATAAAGTTTTAAATACGGATATTTTTCTTACACAAACACATCGCTTCACTTCAGAAGGTCTTTATTAACCCCCAGAGCCATGTGGAGTGTTTTCTATGATGGATGGATGGATGCACTTTAAAATCTCATTTACTGCCATTATAAGGCTTAGAGGAGCCAGGACATTTTTAATTTAACTCCGATTGTATTTATCTGAAAGAAGTAAGTCATATACATAGAGATATACATAGAATGGCTTGAGGGTGAGTAAATCATGGGCTAATTTTCATTTTTGGGTGAACTATTCCTTTAATGATTGTTTGAAGCTGATTGCTTATTTGTTTTTGTTGTCTGAACTATACCTCTTTAAATGGTTACTTGCAATTGATTTTTTCCCCCAGAGTAGACCTATAACCCAACTGTTGGTCTACCACAATTGAGAACCAGATGTAGAATAATATGGAGGTTTGTGAACAGATGAATAGTGTAGGGACTTGCAAAGATCAGTAACAGAGTTTGCCCTATTGGTATGTGATGCAATTGAGAAAGCCTGTTTGATGTGCAAGCTTTAGAAACTGGATGTAGACTAGATAGATTTATAAAGAAAATCGATGGATCTAAAATTTTCAAGGGATATTTATTTATTTAGTTAGTTAAAGCTCAACAATTTCACCATATATTCTATAGTCTTGCCTGCTTGTTGGCTTTGTGTACTGCGCTTACTAAGTTAAGTTACAGAATTAAGTTCTGTTATAGGTGCAGATGCATACAGGAAATCTTTTTATTGTCTCTGCCTCTTTATTATTCAGTATTACGCTGTTTCATTGCATACCATTCCTGCAGAATCACATGATTTACTCCTGGTTTTTCTTAGACCTGTTGGCCTAGTTTTGAGTGCCATGTGAATAAACCGGTAATTTGAGAGTCTGTCATATAAAGATGTTTATCTGATATGAAATCTCTCCTGATTTAAGATACAGGGTTCCCACTCTTTCTGACTAATGAATTTCCATGACTTTTCCAGTTTTTTTAATGGTTGTGCAGTTTATTTTATAGAGAATGCTGGGAAACATTTTTATTTATTTTATTTTTTCATTTTTATGTTAAATGTATATACAGATTCTTTAGACATGTTAGTTTTCTCATTATATTGTGGACTGCCACTGGATCTGCAAGTCTTAACATGTAAAAGGGTTATAACAATGCAAAATGTTTTTAGATTAGGTATTTTCTCGTAATGAGTGCTGGCACTAAAAAGAAAACCTTCACACAATTTATTGACCAAATCCAGGTTTTAATTAATTTAAGAGTGACACATGACATCAGAGACAAGGGAAATAATCAATAAACAATATTCAATATAAAATAGATTGTCTGAAACTAAAGAATAAAACAGAACCAGCAATAATCAACTATTAATAAGTTACAGTTACATTGCACACACAATCATACAGTCTGTTCTGAATTTGTTTGCTTCACAGACTTCATTTAAAGGGCTGTACGAAACTGATTATGCACAACATATGTACGTCCAGACCGCAGTAACAAAAGGAAGATTGTGGAGATCCACCACATCAAACATATAACATATAAGAGTGCTACTAAACCAGACAACAGTAACAAATTCATATCAAGATGATGGCCTGTAAGATGATTCATGTTTCAAACTATAAACTATAGCCATGAAAAAGCCATTTGTTATGCTACAGTGAGAAAACTTGTCCTTATTTTCACTTTGTTTACACCGTTTCTCTCTCTCCACTTCTCTCGAGTGGTTTTCGGACATGTAGTCCAGCTTAACTGACTTGTCTGTTGCTAAGCAACGGTGTAGAATTGCATGAAGTGATGAACAACCTCCTAAAGTTTCTTTCAGATGAACTAGAGTGAGAATTTACAAAGTCAATGATATAATAATAACAACGTTGTACAAATGTGTGGTTAAGGCAAGACCAGTTTATATACAGTATTTTCATTCTCATTTCTCTAGACGGTGACTATGGAAATTTAGATTTTACTGAATGTGCGGTTTTCACAATATCCAGTGCTACAACATTTTGGATTAAATTAGTGAAAATTGCCCATCTTTTTAATAAAAAAAAAATATCAGATTTCATGCTTAATAACCTGTTAGATCTGCATAAAACAGTAAAACGGGAATATTGTGAAATATTATTACAGTTTAAAATAACTGTTTTCTAAAATGTAATTTATTCCTGTGATGGCAAAGCTGAATTTTCAGCTGTAGCTTGTACTGACCCCACACTTTTGAATGGTTGTGTAAAATATTCCCCAAACCATTTCTTTGATCGTATTAAATTTGATGAACTACTTGAGTTGGAAGTTATTCTGAGGTCAGATTCTTCGTAATGCTGTCTCGTCTGACTTCTCAGTTCATTTCTACTTGGCCATTTATAAGCCTAAAGTGAGGATTTAGTTGTTTTATGATTAAGCATTACACAACCAGGGGTTGTGGGATTTAAGACTGAGATTACCAGAATGAGGCTTAGGATGAGAGGAGAGTCCTCTGTGACAGTGATCCGACCAAATGCATGAGAATCACTGAAATTATAATGCAATCTAATGTCCAGCCTCAATTATAACCAGTAACTTTACCACATAACAAGAGAATCAGTTCTTTACAGGCCTTTTGAGAATTAGGTGTTGTGGCAGATTACTGTAAAAGGAAAGTCAACTGGAACATTCAAATTATCTTCTCGCTTATGCAACATTGATCAGTTTTGGTGGACTGCAGTGTCCCTTAGTAATCCCCCATGACCTTTCCAGTCCATCTCTAAAATTACTTCAGTGAAAGATCTCATTTTCTAAAAAAGAATGGTTGGAACATCTGGAAGGGGTCTTTGTGGCAATAACTCCTGCTCTATATTGAGAAATGGCCCGGGCGATGCTGGGCTTCTCCTCATTGGCTGAGATTTATGACCTGTTCTCTAGGGGCAGAAAGCGCATGAAGGACTACAGTAGAGATAGAGAGAGAGAGTGAAAGAGTGTGTCAGCATGTCCAATACATCTGGATGTACCAATGTGATTGGATGCTTCATCTAGCAGATTTATAACACTGTTCACCTTTTCAGGAGGACATAAAATCTTGTTTGGCTCCTCCCCTCATGCTTGCATGAGTTCTCACATTGTAGATCAGTGCCAGCTAATACAAGCAAAGCATAATTCTGTATTGAAACAGTAACTAATGCCAACCCGTATTCAATCATCCTCTCACTTTCCATTTAACAATCACATCCATGTTCACTAAAGTGCGTACTGTGTAACACATCCTCTTCCTTTAAATATGAAATTACGTTCACAGCTCAACCCACATTCCCACGCTAACTACCCATAAAAATATCCGACAGTGTCCAGTATTCACTACATTTCCTTCTTCGGCTGATTGATTGATCATTGATACAAAATGCAGTTCATGTAAAGGCTGGTAAAGAGGATGTGTAACAGCCGAAAACCTTAAACAATGGCAGCAGCTCTTTGTCGTTGTGATGAGTGTGTTTGCAGGTGGGGTGTCAGAATGGAAGAAGAACAACATGAGTGTTGTTGTTTGGGGGAGTGTTCCCCCCCCAAACAACCTTTTCGAAGAGCGAAAAATACGTTTTTTTTTTCTGGAATTGGAGTGGTGCACATGGAGCTCACATGATGGAACAGCTCTTGGTTCTCTCCTTGCTGAAGGAGGAGGTCAGGAGCTCCGCTTTGCTGGGCAAGTGAAGGAGGCGTTTGGACAGCCGGCGAGTGGGGCTTTGCTTTATGGGAGGCTGCAGTTTGTTAAGGCATGTTAGTGCCGCTGAGCGGAACACGCTGTGGATGCTCTTCTCCGATGTGAATGCAGAGCACTCCAGGTACACCTCTGCTCCTACCTGCTTCGCCAGCAAGGTGCCCTACATACAGAAAGATAGACTGAATGCAGTCAGAGATGGAAAAAGAGAGACGAGGAGTCTAGTTTACATAGGGAGGGTGCGATTGACTGACCTGCTCATGGGAGATGGGCGTCAGTCTCTGATTGGACAGCTCCATCAGTGTGCAAACATCTGTTCTCAGGTCTGTCTTGCAGCCGACTAGGATTATTCGAGTACTGGGGCAGAAATCCATGATTTCGGCTTTCCACTGCAGGGAGAGAGCTGTTAATATACTGCAGAAATCATATTCTTAATGAGTATTTTTTACTTGAGAAGCAACAATATGGGATAGATCACCCCAAAAAATTATTTAAAAATATATATTTTATTTTCAACAAAAGAAGTAAGTCATACAGGTTTGGAATGACATGAGGGTGAGTAAATGTTGACAGAATGTAAATTTTTGGTTGAATTATCCCTTTAAGATTTGTTTTGACAGCTTATATATTTATTATGAGTGTATTTTGTCTTATTTCACTTTCATTTTTTTATTTGTTTTTAACTTGTTTATACTTAAAACAAGTGGGGGGGAAATTGTCTGTGCAATGAGACAAAATACACTAATTAAAGATGCATTTTCTGAAAAGTCTTAGTATTTTATGCAGTGTTGTTTCTTAAGTAAAATCGTCTATTTTAAGGATATTTTAACTGGAAAACAAGTTAAAAAAAAGATTAATAGAATTGAAGAAGTCATAAAATGTCTCTCACCTTTTTCAGAGAGTTTTCGACAGTCTCAGGACGACTTATATCAAAGCAGAGCAGAACAGCATCTGCATCACTGTAGCAGAGAGGTCTGACATTATCATAATACGGTGAACCTGCAGGAGCAAACACATGACAAACATTAATAATGGAAACTTGGCGTCAAGTAAGATGCTTGTGATAGAGGAGTGAATGCAGCTGAATATGGAAGATCAAATGCTATGAGGGGGAATTGACAATGGCTGAGTAATGTAAATAGCGTTCGTATGGCAGTTCTCGTAATAGGTGTGTGCATGTGTGTGGGCGACTCTTGGAGATTCCTTTATTGACGGAATGAGTTGCCGAGGAGGTCTTGTCCCCCGCACACACCAAACCTCATCTCATTCCGTAACTACGGCAACAGCATTGAAGGATGTGCACATAAACACTCTCATACTATGGCTCTATGTCGATAGAAAATAAAGCAAGTCCATTAAAGGCGCATTTCACCCAATATTTGTGCTTATAAGTATCGACTTTCAGCTCAGATGTTGGGTGTTGTGTGAGCCTCTCTGAGTCACGTACTACTGCTGTATATGTAGACAGTGACTCAGCTCACTACGTTTAGACAGAGAATATATGGCTTATCAGCAGAAAGAGAGGAGAGATATGATGAGACAAAACAATGAATCTACAGACAACCCTGATACCACTATTTATACACACTAGACAGTACAGGTCTCAACAGTAAGGCCATTGTAGCAAATTAATTCTGATTTAACTGCTTTAAATGTGTCACCATTGTCATATTAATTAGTTTGCAAACGAGATGATGTTTAGTTCAACTGAAGCATGAGTAAAAATGGAATGAAAATCATAAACCAATAACCATATACCACCATTTTCCAACAAAAGACTATTGATGAATGTATGGCTGCCTGTCACTATGAATATTATATTATATTATATTATATTATTAACAGTGCTGGGTAGTAACTGATTATATGTAATCTGGATGTAATCTCAGTTAGGGCTGGGCAAAAAATCTAATGCGATTTTCATGCGAATCTCGTCAGTAAAGCCACTTCTGGTGATTAGTAGTAAATCTCCAGCACGTGCTTTCAGATGAAGCGGCATTTACTACACAGAGCCGTAGATCACTGACAAGCTACACAAAATCGCGTTCAAAATCGCAGGCGATTCATTGCCGATTTTGTGTAGCTTGTCAGTGAACTACGGCTCTGTGTAGTAAATGCCGCTCCATCTGAAAGCACGTGCTGGAGATTTACTACTAATCACCAGAAGTGGCTTTACTGATGAGATGTGCATGAAAATCGCATTCGATTTTTTGCACCGCCCTAATCTCAGTAATGTAGTACTTGTAATTAGAGTATATTACATTTTAAAATGTTTGTAATCAGATTATCGTTACTTTTTATGGATTACATGATTGCATATTCACACAGTGGCAGTAAATTATTCACAATTTATTGATTCTGGAAGTCTGGACAAAAATATTTCAAACCTGGAAGACTTTGGGCGTGTCATTGTTTTCATGTTTATTAATATGCGTTTAATGCAGGGATTCTCATTTTTGTCACCCCTTAAAATAAAATATTTGTTGAAATATCACAGAAGTCAATATTTCAATAATTTAACAACACATTCGCATGTTTACAGTTCTCTGATGTTGGTTAATGGTCACACTGACATGCAGGTAAACAAAAACAGTATTTACATTTTTAAGTATTCAAGTGTTTTAAAATGCTTTTATTTTACATTTTTATGAGTTGAATTTAATTATTAGGTTTTTATCAATTCACTATTCACTCTATCAACTCACTAATGTAATGTTTAATGCATTTTATGAAGTTGACATCAAAACATGGAATATATTTTCTTTCTCTTTGCTTTTATTATATCAATATGGTATGTTTAATGGTACATTTAAAACAAGTTTGATAAAAATGTAATCTAAAAGTAATCTAGATTGCATTACTACCTACAGTTTACATCATGTAATCTGTAATATGTAATGGACTACAATTTGTAAGTAATCTACCCAGCTCTGATAAATAAATGTCTTTATTAAAGGGGTCATATGATGTTGCTAAAAAGAACATTATTTTGTGTATTTGGTGTAATGAAATGTGTTTATGCGGTTTAAGGTTAAAAAAACACATTATTTTCCACATACTGTACATTATTGTTTCTCCTCTATGCCCTGCCTTTCTGAAACGCGTCGATTTTTACAAAACTCATCGGTCTGAAAAACGAGGTGTGCTCTGATTGGCCAGCTATCCAATGCGTTGTGATTGGCATGTGGGGCGTGTTTAAACGAGGCGTTTTAGGAGGGCGTGGACCAGTCTTAACTTTTATAAAGAATATCTCTTTGGGTTTGCGACTTTAGTCTTTGCAACTTTAGGGATCTTATCTATTCACGAACAGCTTGTAACACTCCAAAGAGAAAGGAAAACTTGAAATCGCATCATATGACCCCTTTAATGTATTTAAAACCAGTTATACATTTTTATATCTTTTGTAAAAAATGTTTTAGTTTTTAATTACATGTATTATTTTTGACATAAAAATATTTCAATTGTAGATCCTCTGTGTGAGGGGTCATGGATCTTTTCAGATGTACTGTAAAACTCAATAGTAAGACATCTCCCTGTATCTGTTATACTAGGTAGCAATTGCTCTTGACACCTGACCGTAGCTACTGTTTGAAAAACAAATTATAAAAACTGTATATTCCTCTTGAATCAGATTTCTAATGATAAGAGCTACAGGAGTGGGCCACACCAGGCCCGTCAAAGGCTCAGTCGCAGCCTCTCATGCCCGTCTGGTCTTTGATCTGGAGAGTGTGTGAAGAGATGCCTGAAGCAGCGAGAGCCAGATGAGCAAATTCAATTAAAGCTTCTATAATTAGTCGTGATTAGAGTGTGTTTGTTCACGTATGCTGATGAGTGTTTGCATGTGGGTGCACGAGCATCTAGCGCTCTGCCAGTGTTCCTCCTGCGCGTTGTCACCTAACGAGGCTGTGCACAATTAACAACGCCTAACTGGCTTAATGAGGGAATAGATGGGAGCTGTTTGATTGGCTTCTCAAGCGCTGATCTTCCATGCAAGATTCTGAGTAAGCTGTTATACATGATAAAAATGTATTTTCTCTCACAGTTACGGTTTTTACCTCTGATCTGGATTGCGTGTCCGGGGTTATTTAACATTTAAGTTTTTCTACTGTTGTTTCTCTGTTCTAGGTCAGTATGACTGGGAAATTCCATTGAAGTGTTTTTAACGTTTCACAATAAGGCAGTGTGTTTAGATAAGATGCACAGCAGGAAATACCTCGAGCTAAACCGAGCATAGACAGGAAGTCCTCTTTGCTTAAGAGTTAATTCACCAGTTATCACATGCACAGATGATGTTCTAGGCATTTGGTTGGTTATAATATTACATATTAATATAAATATTATTATAATGTATAATAATTCATTTAATAATATTTTTAATATTCAAATTATTTTATTATTACTATTATTATTATTATTATTATTAGTAGTAGTAGTAGTAGTTCAAAAGCAGAAACAGAGCAATAATTAATAATCAACTGTGCATATAAAAATTAGAGCCCGACCGATTTATCGTTTTGCCGATTTTATCGGCTGATATGAGCCTGTCGCAGATATATCGTATCGGCTAATATGCCACCGATATGAATTTTTTTTTACAGAACATAAAACGCAAATAAAATGCTTGTAAATGGTGTAATTACGTAGTTTGTCCAGCAGAGCACGCTCCATTGTTTGCTACTGGCGACCTGAATGAAACACTTTAAAGCTTAAGTGTATGGAATACCATTGAAATACCCCCTCATATCTTTGTCACGTAATTATAAGTGTTTGATCACCACATTTGAGTGATCATTGCAAAAAATGTGTTTATGTATATATATTCTGTTTATGTATATACTGTATTCTATATATATGACCAGTCAAAAGTTTGGACACACGAATGTGACTTGTACTGTACTACAATTAGGGATGCACCGATACCGATACTGGTATCGGTATCGGGCCCGATACTGGAAAAATTTACAAATGCAATAAAAATATTGGTATCGGTACTCGGTATCGGCAAGTACCAAAAATAAAAGTATCGGTATCGGGCGAGTACTGGAAAAAGTGGTATCGGTGCATCCCTAACTACAATATACACAAAGAATATCAGCCGATATATCGATATCGGCCCTTTTTTTTACTCCCTAATATCGGTATCGGCTCCCAAAAAAACCCATATCGGTCAGGCTCTAATAAAAATGTGTTGTATGAGCTGCAAAAAAGTAGTAAATCTCTAATGTAAACAAATTTATAAGTTCAATTTTGAAACAAAGGCTGAAATATTCTATTTTGCTAGCAAAATGTCTTAGTTTCCACAGGTGAAAAATCTATTAGAGAAAACCTATTAGAGAAAAGCAACATCCCATCCACTCATCCAGCAAGTAGGCACTCAGTCAAGCAGTCAGGCATGACAATTAACATAGACTCAGATTCATCAAGCATCACTGACTGATACGTTACACAACGTGCTATGCAACATGACCCTGAAGAACCCAGCTTTCACTTGGCATGCAATATGACAGCAGCTGGGATTTAAAAATATTAAACCTATACACAATTGCAAAGATTAATCTAGGTGGAAATATCAGTTATAAAATAAGGGCATTTGGAAAGGGCATGATGTACTTTAAAAAAGAAATATCCTTCCAAATCAAGTGAAACCGACAGAGTTTACAAAGATAATGATTTAGACTGAAGGAAAGATGGGACGGTTTGGTACATAATTGGTATGAGAACAGTAATAATAATTTTCAGGAGAGAAATCTAACTATTTTTGTCTGTACATTGTTTGGGTGAACTATCCCTTTAAGAGATGTCTTCTTACTCTTAAAACGCCATGAATCCAAACATAGACTAAATAAATGAGACTATCAGTAGAACATTCCATGTCTTTTTACTAGATAAGAAAGTAAGAGAGCTTCAGCTATCAGTCATTGAACCACGGCTTTCTACTACTAGGCTAATCTTAATGAGACTCTCAATCAGATACACATGCAAACATTCCCTAACCAAATCAATCTGAAAGACAAAACCACAGGCACTGGAACAGGAGCTGATCTGTGTAATCTTTTTCAAAAAAAGAGAAAAACAGTATCTCTAAAAAGCCACCTATGTCATTGAAAAGGCTTTGTGTGCCACAATGAGACATTCCAAAACATGCCAAAACCTTGTGCTGTCCTGCACTGCCCTGAATATTTTAATAGCCAGTTGTCTATCTCGTCTGATCCAGAGGCAGACAGAAGGTAAAGACGGCACGCCGCCAGCGTCTGACGCTTGGGGATTGGTCTCAGGTGTTGGGACTGCCAGACCCTCTCACCCACTTACAGCAGCCTCACACATGTCAGCTTGTGTTCCCTGACTTAGGGCTCAGGTGCTGATGGTGTGTCTTTCCTGTAACGTCTGACTGACCTACTAGCCCAATAACAGTCAACACAACAGCTGAGAATGGACAAAAGCTAATGCATTTGTAAATAATTCTAACAAAACATAGTAAAGATAAATCCAAATCTATTCCTAATCTACTTTAAATGATAAACAATCATTTTGTATATCTGAAAATCGTAATGCAACATATGATGCATTGAAGACACAATTCAGATATCACAATATCACAAGGGAAATAAATAATTGATCAGGTACACAGGTTACTACAATGAGTATATATTTGATATATATTGATGTGAGTTATATGAGTTATGTTATTAATTTCAGATTGTACAAAATCAGAGCTACAACTGCTCTGGCGAACATTTACATTCCACTTCACAGTGAAGCTGTTTGTTTATGCTTGTTTTATTCATTTTAGTCCTTACAGTGAAAGTAAACAGGGTCCAAAACAACATTGGACCCCACTCAGGCCAATATAGATGACTTAAACTACTAGTACTATTGGAAAGAATAAGAGCCTATTTGACGAACACTTAATTTGCTTTCACTGTATGCATGAAAATGAATGAAACAAACATAAACAGCTTCACTATGAAGTGGAAGCAAGTAGTGAACAAATCACATGTATTCAGGCCAATAGGTGACTAAAACTACTAGTACTAAATGTTGGTCAGAGCCGTTGTACCTCTGATTTTGTACAAGGTAATAATAACATGTAACTCATATGGAAAACAAACACTGGGACATTTTCAAAACATTTTCTTTTGTGTTCCACATAAGAAAGTCATACAGGAACGAGTATGATGACAGAATTTTAATTTCTGAGTCCATTTAATGATATTTAAAGTGTGTGAAACTGTATTAATTAGCAAAATTGACTGAGTGCAAATGTGTTCATCAGTTTAAATGCTCTGTTACATAAAGCAGTATCACCGCTGTACAGCTGTTAGTCGGTCAGTCTCTCTCTCACCTGACGTGTCCCATAAACTGAGCTCCACGCGCTGCTCCTCTAATTCCAGTCCAGCTGTGTAGTTCTCAAACACTGTTGGGACGTATGTCTGTGTGTGGGGGAAACGAAATAAAAGCCGTTATTTAGTGACTTAACATTTCCATAAAAACACTTAATTTCGTTTAAAACGTTATTTAGTTTCAGTATATATCATAGGTTGCGTTGGTTTGTTGCAAAAGCGTCGTTTTTTCCCCAGCGTCAACACGTGCACAACAACTCACATGAGAAAGATGCATTAAGTATCACCTTGATGTATGATGTATGAATATACAGGATAATCAAACGCAGTGCGTAATAGTCACAGTATATGGTTGCATAATGACATAAGCAAGCATCCAAGTGCTTTACTAGCGAACACATACATCAATAGCCGCTCAGTGAATACGTGAGAGAGCAGGACATACCTCAGGATAACAGTCTTTGGCTAAGACTTGCAACATTGCGGTTTTCCCGCACTGCACGTCTCCTACTAAAACCAGTTTACAACGCATTACCAAAGGCTGGCTGATTCTTCTCTCCTTCATTGTAAATAAGACGGTCCTGTGCGCGACTGCTCTCTCGTATGACGGCCCTGGGCAGTTTGTTCAGACCGCATTGAAGTTTGGACTAAATCTCCACGAAAGAGAGAAATACGGCACTGCGGCAATTTATACAGCTCTGCTGTCCAATCAGCGCCGCGCTCTCCTGCTCGCGCTCGAGTTCCACTGCCCCCGAAATGCGCCCACCCAGTCTGCACATTGATTTAGCCGATTTAAATGCTAGCGATGGTAAACGAACCTTATGGGGGGTTTGAAAAGAAAGTTTCCACGCAAGGTGTGAACATGACATCATAGACGTGAGATTAATAAAAGTTGAGGGGGAAAAATTCCTATAAAAGAGAACGTCTCAAACGCTTTACGCGTTATCAGTGCATTCGCTACTCTAAATACAAAGTGCTGCACAAAATAATGATGCATGTAGCTTATTAATATAAGCTTAACATTACCCAATCAGTTATATTATGAAAAATACTAAATACCTTCAACAACAACAACAACATGAACGCTGATGCAAAGTGTGAGCAAAATGTCTGTACACTTTTTGGTGGAAAAATGTCATAAGCAGATTCTGACCTTTTAAAATATGTTTTATTTTATTTTTAAAAATTTATTTTTATTTGATTTATTTTTACTTTTGTTGTAAATCTTGTGAACAAAATAAGCTAAACCACCATTATATGTCATAAAAAGCCACATTTGTCTGTTAAGTGTTCATAATGACCAATTCATTCTCTGAGGACATTTTAAATAAATTATCTTAAGCAAGTAAAATGTTACAACTGACCCTAAAAGTGGCATTAAAGAACTCTATAGCCTATTGGCTTTACCAAAAGAACCACTTTATTCTCTGAATGACATTTTAAATGTTTGACTTACAGTGTTGTACAGACATCACCTGACAAAAGGCTTACTCACACGTGTTATGCAATATTTGAGAAACATAAAATTTCTCTTGTTCCTAATTTAATTTAATAAAAGATTATACTAAAGTGACCACTTTAAAAAAAAGATTTTTCCATAAATTGGAATTATTCAAATTCATAGCTGTCGCATAGAGAAAGACTTCAAAGTGTGACATCAAGAGCCCATATTCACCTTCTCCTCTGACTCAATGACCGAAACAGGTGGATATACGGCCACACTTCTGTTGAGCTTTATTGAGCGTGAGTTGTGTAAAAGACTGATAACCTCTGACAAATTATTGACTGCTTGTTGAGTAACAGTTTGACTCTGTTTCCTGGTATTTCCTCATTTGTTTGGCCCTGACAAATGAGAGCGTAATCGAACGAGCCCAAAGCTGCGCACCCAATAAATCCATAAACTGATCACATTGTGTGTGTGTTGTGGACGCATCTGACTGTAATTAAAGCCCGTCCCCTGCACATAGACGCTAATTACATGATACGAAGATTGTAACCGGCTATAATGATACATTTGGTTCACTCAGGGCAGCGTTTCAGAGAATGTGTTCACACAGACTGTTCCATTTATTTTGAGACCCTTTGTGCTAAAGCCCTTAGGAGAGAAATGATTATGTAACTATCTCTGGTTCCTTTGTATAGCTCAGGCCTCTCTCTCTCTCGGTCTGTCTCTCTCTGCTTATAAAACAAATAATATATTTAGACTAGCAGACAAGGGTACAAACAGTCATAAAAGCTAAAACAGGAAAAGAACTAAGGGGAATTAAGAGGAATGGACCCATTTTAGACCAACTATAGAAATAGTATAGTGTTCTAGTTTAATAGTACACTTTACCTTCCCATCATATATTTCTGTAAATGTGATTTCTGAATGTATTCCACTCCGCAAAAGCACAGTGTGGCAGCATGTGTATGTTTACAAGAGTGTTCTAGAGTGGTGGCCCAGGCCAGACAGAGACAGATGGTCTGGTCTTCCCCAAACTGAGACAGGAAACACAGCAATGACATCTCAGCTGGGGAGAAGCATCGAGCATATTCTGCAAACTGGAGGAAAATGACTGTTCTTAGACCGTCTCATATCCATAGACAAGTCTATTTAGTAGTAATGCTTAAAGTAATAGTTTACCCAAAAATGAAAATGAGCTTACCCTCAGGCCATGTAGATGAGTTAGTTTGTTCATTGGAAAAGATTTGGAGAAGTTCAGCATTACATCACTTGCTCGCCAATGGATCCTTTGCAGTGAATGGGTGCCGTCAGAATCCAACAGCTTTGTGATTAAAACAATCCACACCACTCCAGTCCATGTTCTATTTCTATTCTAACTACTTGTTTTCTTAAAAAAAGAGCCTCTAACACTAGCGTTCCCATATTCTTTTTCTATTCTGTCTACTTGTTTTCTTTTTATTTATCATAAAAAACGACACTCCAACACTAGCATTCTCTATTCTTTCTATTATTTTAACTTGTTTTATTTTTATTAAAAAAGACCCTTTAACAGTAGCGTTCCTTATTCTTTTTTCCATTCTATCTACTTGTTTTCTTTTCATTTATTATAAAAAAAACCTTGCTACGTGTACTGCAATAGGCTAACCGAGACTTGTCACAGCACTTACATATTGTTGCTCATTTGTTGGTTTTGATTGCTTCTATTGTCCTCATTTGTAAGTTGCTTTGGATGAAAGTGTCTGCTAAATGACTAAATGTAAATGTAATGTAGTGTGTTTGTAAGAAACAAATCCATCATTAAGGTGTTTTAACTTAAAACCATAACTTCTGGCCAAAATACAAATCCATAATAACGCTTCCTCTTGTGAAAAAGACCGGGCACCTATTAAATTCACCAACATATTTCTTTAGAACTGTTTTGGACTGTTTTTGCTTGTAAACGGTGCTTGCAGTGCATTCGCTACTCTAAATACAAAGTGCTGCACAAAATAATGATGCATGTAGCTTATTAATATAAGCTTAACATTACCCAATCAGTTATATTATGAAAAATACTAAATACCTTCAACAACAACAACAACATGAACGCTGATGCAAAGTGTGAGCAAAATGTCTGTACACTTTTTGGTGGAAAAATGTCATAAGCAGATTCTGACCTTTTAAAATATGTTTTATTTTATTTTTAAAAATTTATTTTTATTTGATTTATTTTTACTTTTGTTGTAAATCTTGTGAACAAAATAAGCTAAACCACCATTATATGTCATAAAAAGCCACATTTGTCTGTTAAGTGTTCATAATGACCAATTCATTCTCTGAGGACATTTTAAATAAATTATCTTAAGCAAGTAAAATGTTACAACTGACCCTAAAAGTGGCATTAAAGAACTCTATAGCCTATTGGCTTTACCAAAAGAACCACTTTATTCTCTGAATGACATTTTAAATGTTTGACTTACAGTGTTGTACAGACATCACCTGACAAAAGGCTTACTCACACGTGTTATGCAATATTTGAGAAACATAAAATTTCTCTTGTTCCTAATTTAATTTAATAAAAGATTATACTAAAGTGACCACTTTAAAAAAAAGATTTTTCCATAAATTGGAATTATTCAAATTCATAGCTGTCGCATAGAGAAAGACTTCAAAGTGTGACATCAAGAGCCCATATTCACCTTCTCCTCTGACTCAATGACCGAAACAGGTGGATATACGGCCACACTTCTGTTGAGCTTTATTGAGCGTGAGTTGTGTAAAAGACTGATAACCTCTGACAAATTATTGACTGCTTGTTGAGTAACAGTTTGACTCTGTTTCCTGGTATTTCCTCATTTGTTTGGCCCTGACAAATGAGAGCGTAATCGAACGAGCCCAAAGCTGCGCACCCAATAAATCCATAAACTGATCACATTGTGTGTGTGTTGTGGACGCATCTGACTGTAATTAAAGCCCGTCCCCTGCACATAGACGCTAATTACATGATACGAAGATTGTAACCGGCTATAATGATACATTTGGTTCACTCAGGGCAGCGTTTCAGAGAATGTGTTCACACAGACTGTTCCATTTATTTTGAGACCCTTTGTGCTAAAGCCCTTAGGAGAGAAATGATTATGTAACTATCTCTGGTTCCTTTGTATAGCTCAGCCCTCTCTCTCTCTCGGTCTGTCTCTCTCTGCTTATAAAACAAATAATATATTTAGACTAACAGACAAGGGTACAAACAGTCATAAAAGCTAAAACAGGAAAATAACTAAGGGGAATTAAGGGGAATGGACCCATTTTAGACCAACTATAGAAATAGTATAGTGTTCTAGTTTAATAGTACACTTTACCTTCCCATCATATATTTCTGTAAATGTGATTTCTGAATGTATTCCACTCCGCAAAAGCACAGTGTGGCAGCATGTGTATGTTTACAAGAGTGTTCTAGAGTGGTGGCCCAGGCCAGACAGAGACAGATGGTCTGGTCTTCCCCAAACTGAGACAGGAAACACAGCAATGACATCTCAGCTGGGGAGAAGCATCGAGCATATTCTGCAAACTGGAGGAAAATGACTGTTCTTAGACCGTCTCATATCCATAGACAAGTCTATTTAGTAGTAATGCTTAAAGTAATAGTTTACCCAAAAATGAAAATGAGCTTACCCTCAGGCCATGTAGATGAGTTAGTTTGTTCATTGGAAAAGATTTGGAGAAGTTCAGCATTACATCACTTGCTCGCCAATGGATCCTTTGCAGTGAATGGGTGCCGTCAGAATCCAACAGCTTTGTGATTAAAACAATCCACACCACTCCAGTCCATGTTCTATTTCTATTCTAACTACTTGTTTTCTTAAAAAAAGAGCCTCTAACACTAGCGTTCCCATATTCTTTTTCTATTCTGTCTACTTGTTTTCTTTTTATTTATCATAAAAAACGACACTCCAACACTAGCATTCTCTATTCTTTCTATTATTTTAACTTGTTTTATTTTTATTAAAAAAGACCCTTTAACAGTAGCGTTCCTTATTCTTTTTTCCATTCTATCTACTTGTTTTCTTTTCATTTATTATAAAAAAAACCTTGCTACGTGTACTGCAATAGGCTAACCGAGACTTGTCACAGCACTTACATATTGTTGCTCATTTGTTGGTACTTGTTTTATTTTTATTAAAAAAAAAACTTTAACAGTAGCGTTCCTTATTCTTTTTTCCATTCTATCTACTTGTTTTCTTTTCATTTATTATAAAAAAAACCTTGCTACGTGTACTGCAATAGGCTAACCGAGACTTGTCACAGCACTTACATATTGT